TCTCTCTCTCTCTCTCTCTGTCTCTCTCTCGTTCCTTTCGTGCGTCGTTACCTGTCTGCGTGTTGGAGCGAAGTACGAAGAAAGAAGAGACGGCCAAGTAGAAGCGAAACCGCGAACCGCAGAGAAAAGGAAACGGTGCACGTAGAACTACCGCTTTAAACTGTCGATCGTGTTGTTGCGAGAGAGCGCGCTGCACGCCCGAAGGCAAATACCTGCGCCTGGTTTCGAGTCGATCCGGGCCTCTGACACGTCGCTTCCCGTAGGCCGCCACTTTTCTCTCCGCTCGATCGGTGAAACGTGCCGGGGAACGGCGTGTGCGTGGAACGGTATCTCCCTCCGTTCAGCCTGCACGCGTGGAAAGAGAGGAAACGAGGGTTGAACGTCTTCGGTTGAATTCGACTGACAAATCAAAGACTGGAGCTCTTGGACCAATTGATCTAAAGATCGTGTGCGACGCACACAGTGACCGACTTTTCTGCTTCGTCTCGCGTCGTCGGTATCTTCCGCGCGTTTCAGTTTCGAGTGAACCACCTCCGCAGTGTTTCCCTCCGTTCGACAAACAGAGGGAGGTGCATCCGCACGCGAGCCCCGAGTGTGCACCGCGTTCCCGTTCCGGGAACCACCTGTGGATTTCGCGCGAACCTGTCGAGAGAGTGTTGCACACCTCTACTCTGCGCTTGGCGAAAAGAACACGAGAATACAATACAATACGTGCGCGTATGGTATGAGCTGACGCGTTGCTCGTCGCGTTCGTCGAAGAGCGAGGAGCAAGCGCTGACGATCGACACGATCATGCCGATCAAATCGGAGTAGTGAGATATCCCGATTCGAATCGTTAACACGCCGGTGTTAAAAGCAGGTCGAATGATGACCATGTTCGGCACTCTCGTCCAGAGGCTCACCTCGCCGGTGACCTCACCCACGAGCCCTCGACGTCGTTTCAAATCACCGTCGCGTTGGGAGGTGCAGAGCGACCCGGAGGACGATCCGGCCGCCCCTGTACGCAAGTCGAGGGCCAAGCATCTTCTGGATAAGCGCAAGAGCAAGAGCCGGGCGCGTGCTCTGAACGTGCACTCGGAGCAAGTGCAGATGTGCAACAACCCCGGATGGCACGACGCCGCGTTTCCGCCGCTCCGGGGCACTAAGAGCCTCGGCAGGCTCGACGGTATGAAAGAGGTGAGTCTTTAAACGCCAGTTGAAACTTTCTTTTCGCCAATGCAGAGTGTACTCCACTTTCGATTGCCAATCGTCTGCGGGATTTACGCAGCAAACGCGGCGTTTAGTTGCGCAAGCTTGACGACAAAAATTCCTCCGGCGTGTTATTTTTTTTTAATTTTCGGGGCGTTCGCTGCTTTTAGACAATGATGGACAGCGTTTAGATTCCAATTTCATTTTAGCTTCGATTCAGTTTATACTTTACCATTGTGCCCAGAAAGGAGAATTTGTATTCCTTGCACCATGCAAAAGATTTATCTAAAAACAATTCTTTTCTCTTTCTATTTGAAATTGTTTTCACTTAGTCGAAAATACATATCCATTATTTCAGTCGACAGTGAGAGGGCTAAAACAATTAACAAATCGTTACTATGGTCTTACGTAATGCTTTATCAACGAGCACTGAATTCAATTTTTGGACTGAATTCAATCGTGGTTTTGTTTTATACACGTATGTGTCTTGCATTCGTGGAACTGAGTTCGATTAAAATTCCGCGAAGGCGAAACTTTTTTACTTGTGTAAGCAAGTTTCAACTTTTTGAGTTTTAATTCGACTCGAACTTGTCCGAGGATCCTTAAATATAAATTGTACGTTAACGGTTTATTAAGCTAGTACGAATTTTATTTATAGTTTTATACGATCGAAACGGAAGGAATTTTATTACACATACATATGGCATTGCTGCCTATAATAAAAATTTCCTTTGTCGAAAAATACAATCACACGTATTCAATTAATAATCAGTGTTGAAGCGTTAATTGTTACGAGCACGAATTGAGACTCTGAGGCAGAGTAACTGGAATTTCTGTCTCGCGTTAGTCCATGAATTCGAGTTTACGTTTGGTAAACACAGAACGGAATAACTACGCGGCACAGGCGTGTCCAAACTCGCGTCGTTGATAACACCGTACGTACAACTTTAATCGAAAACAGGTTTCACTGTTTCCCATGCCGAGGCTAGAACCGAAACCGCGATCGCACGAAAAAATTGGGATATTAGGTTGCGAATTAATTGGTCGGTGTTCCTCCTTCTTCCTCTGATAGATATTAATTAAATTCCGTTGTGCCGCAACCTGATTGCATAATTGCATCGCAACGTAACACATACCAGACCAGGTGTTTTTACTTGGATCGCGCGTACGTCGCGAGTTTCGCGCAATCCGCACGCTTGGCAAGCGTGTTAACGAGGTTTCTTATTTTGCCTCGCGCGTCGAAATGCTGCGGCCGTTTCCTTCGTCGTGTGCCCGTGCGTAACCGGAACACCGGATAGCTGAATGAAGGAAAAAAGAGAAGACTTTTCCCAGCTTGCCACGTGTGTTTATTTCCTTGGAACAGCATTAACCAAATTTCTCTCGTGTTTATCAAAATCGAGAATGTTTTCATCGTTGAATGTCGATCTCTGGCCGAAGTAGAAATGCTGTGCTACGCTACGAAATTCTTCGAACTGGTTTACACATTGAGTGGATTTTTATTTGGAACCGATCGAGGGGCAACCTCGTTTCTCGATTTGGTGGAAGATTGAGAAACGCGTCGCTCCGATTTACATCCGATTCGATCACGATTCCGGTGTGTTTCGCGTGAAACGTGTCGTATCATTGCACATGAAGAGAGAAAGCTAATGGTGCCTGAAATAGCGAAGATGAAGTAAAGATAAGCTGATAGGATGTCTAGAAGAGAGAATAAACGAGCCTCTCAGTGACAACAGTTGTTCCAACTCCATAAATTGAAATATAGAGGAAAGTGATGATTTCCATGAATACTTATCATCTTGCGGTAGTAACGTAACTTCAGTCATAGTCGATTTCTACCAGTTCGTAGCTTTTGATGGAGAATTTATAGATCTACAATGAGACACGATTTTGATCCTAAAGTACATAAATATCGTGTTCTTTATTTTATGTTCTCGTACTTTCAATGTTAATTTAAGATTTAGGAAAAATTGAACACATCTTACGTGTGTCTTGCTTGTTCCATTCGTAGTTCAAGCAAATTGTATCATCTTTGGCGTGCCGTCCGCGCGGTTCGTAATTCGAATTACACGAAAATTGCACGGTTTCAACGGTTCCGTTTGACCGTTTCTACGCGTGTGCAACGAGGTGGCATTGAGCCGGGCCGTGTAAAAATCGGACGTTGCCAAATGTTGGTAATTCGAGCGACTCTTGACTCTTAACGACGACAACGACTTTCGTCGTTCTTTCCCCTTCTCCGGGCCAGGTAGGTTCCAGGGTAGCTAACCTTCGTCGGAGGACGCACCTCGTTCTTTTCCTTTTCTGGCCCGGTTCTTTCGCGAGGCAACAACGAGTAAGTACCATTAATTTCGCGTGGCGGAGAAAAAAGAAGGAGAAAAGGAAAGAAAAGGAAGACGGATCTCGTCGAACTACGTATAACTCCGCGCCCTTAACGACTGCACCTCGTCTACTCTTCAGCGAGAGAGAGAGGAAGAGAGTCCGGAGGCGATTGCTTGCAACCGCGCGGCAGATAAGGATCTGCAGGGGCGCATCTAGTTAAATCGCGGTACTCGAAGGAGGGGAGGGAGGTCCACGGGGTTCTCCTCGTTGGCTCTCGCTCTCGCTGTTGCTCCGCGAGAGACACGAGGTCGCCTCTCTCCGTCAGATAACATCGGCGATCGGAGGTGATGGAGCACGGTAGCCGAATATCCTCGACGTCGGCTCGCGTGAACGTTCGGTCGATTTTTTCGTCGCGCGTCGTCCTCAGCCAAGCCAGAGGTCCTTGAACGCTGCCAGGCCTTGAACCATCTTCCAAATTACCCATCGGTGCATCGGTATTCATTGGCATCGAGATAAATGAAATTCAGCTTTTGGTATTCTCGCTCTCGTGAACCGAAGCCGGATGGATGAAGAAATTCGACGAGGTAAATGTTGAAAGGATCCGCTGACTTGGCGGTTGTTGAAATTACGCTTTATGTCGATTGACGTTGTTCAGCTGGTGGGGTAAAATTACGTATAAAATTCAGCGCAAAGAGGCTCGTCACGAGGTTTCATTCAACTGTATTCCGCATTTAGATATCTCGTGTTACTTTGTATTTAGGCTAGGTTTAGGTTTCTTAAATTTTAATTGGGAATTGTGCTACAAATTGCGAATGATTGCAAATGCTCGTTTTATAGTTTTACAAGCACTCGTGTTTGTTTACGATAATTATAAAACACTTGTGAGGAACCTAAAACAAATTAACCATTATATTTTATGATATGATATTATGATATTATGATAGAAATACCTGTTTATGACATCTTTCGTCAGACATACGTGCCAACATTCTACATACTGTTTATAGATGACTAAAGTGTAAATTTCATCAGAAATATTAGAGTAAAAGAAACAGAAGAATTTTGTGATACACAAACGTCTATTTACATGTTTCGGTATAAATCATTTAAATCTGTAAAAACACATTATTTCGCATTTATCATGTCCCAAACGAGAATTACAAGCTGATCGTTTCGAGCACTTTGCTAGTGTTTACAGACATGATATTACTGGAGAACCGGCAAGACGCGTGGCTGAGTGTCAGATTGTGAGACGTTAGAAACTGGCGTCAAACTGAAGTCATACGAAGTAAAATCCCTGGTCGAATTGGAAGGCAACCTTGCGAGGAAGCTCGTTGGCCCAGGGGGGGCTTAGCACGAAACTATACTGCGCGCATTCCGAAACTCTGAATCAACGCCTCGTTTTCGTGCGTCGTGTGGAACGCGTACGATCGTTATCTCAACAATCTGCGTTTCACGAGGTTCAGAAAACCCTCGAAAATCTATAAACCGTCTTCCGTCGATCCTCTTCCTTTCCCGGTGTCCAAAAGAAAATTACCAGGTCGGCCGGTGCGTTCCCTCTCGATGATTTACGCGCGAGTTCACCTAACCGCGAAACGACCAACCAGAGAGGAGCCATCAAATTCGAATATATCACACAAGCGAGGAGAGAGATTAGTCGAAAACGCGCGGCGGGTTTCTGGCTCGCGTTTTTATTTGCCAGGAATCCGCGTTGCTTTTTGTCCGCGTGTTGGAGGAACGAGCCAGTTCGCCGCGGGTGTTGGCGCGGCTATTGTTCGGACCTCGAATTCGAAAAGACGTGGCAGAAAAGATGCTAATTGTGAATATGAAAATCGCGACGGGGGTATTTTGGCCATCGGGTTTCGTTCTTTACGAGAGATACCGAAGATCTCTCTCTCTCTTTCTTTCTTTCTGTCTTGAACATACACTGTAATCTTTGCTTTTTCTTTTTCTGCATCCCTTAAGGTCCACAGGGCCGAACGAATGATGACATGTTGGCCGTTCCCCCCGGGGGCCCAGCAGATTTCGTAGAAAAAACGAGTCTTGTTGACAGCGAAAAAAAAAAAGTGGAAAGGCCCTCTCTCGAAACGTTTTGACCGTGACATTCTTTGATCGTCGTTGCTCGCTCGTGGTTTCACTTGTCCTTGATCCTTCCTAGAAGATGCTAGATCTTCTCTCGTTGTGATCGTTTAGATGTAAACGGCCGAGAAAACGAAGGGAAGAGGATAAAGTACTCGCGAATGTACGTACAGGAGTTGTGTCCGGGTCGCGCGAGCAGGAAGCTTTTCACGCGTCTGATCGTTATCCTAATTACCTTGGCTTTTTTTTCCGCAATTAACCTGCCTCTTCTCGGCCCTGTACGAGTCCAGAGATCCTGGCGATATCTCGTGAGATAGTTCGAACGAACCGAACCATCGAATGCTCTTTTTCAACGCGGCTAGGCTCTTTGAAATCGTTCGCGCCTCCCCGGCCATTCGCAAGCCACACGGTTTTTCACACGGCGTTTTCCCGCATCGTTCTCCTGCGTTGCTCCTTGGTTACTGATTTCATGCGACTCCGAGCCGTATGAATAATTAAACCGTGCCATGACATTAGCAGCGTCCGTAGAAATGAACACATTATTCCGCGCAATAATTTCACAAACGCTACACGTGCAACGAACGGTGGAGTTTTTCTGCAATACTGTGAAAACTCGAGTCGAGAGCTTGAATTACGATTCGATACTTTGAGACTCTCGAAAGACTCTTAATTAGTCTCGAGTCTTGATTGGTCTTGATTGTCGTGGAATTTTTAATCAAGGTTCTCAAAAGTCTCGATTAATCTTGAGTGCCAAGGGTCTTGATAGATGATGACTATTATTTTCCCATTTTCCAAGCGCGTAAGAAATGCAGTATAAAAATGAACGATGTCAATAGATGTATCCCATGCACTAAGTTTTACAGATTTTCTTTGATATATTTTTTATATTGTACACATCTATCGAGACTTTCAAGACTTAAATTAATCACGACTTTCAAAAGCGATCTACTAATTATAATGATAATAATATTTATTATATTGTTGATACCTTTGGGTACAAAGTACAAAGAAAGAATT